CCCCAAAATAACTCTGCTTATATTAATTTCCCTTTTCTTTGTGTGGCATAACAATTTCATTTGGTTATGTGAGACTTTCAAGTGTGCAAAAATGCAAAAACATTTAATTTGAATAGGATTACGGTAAAATACTTCCTTGCTTCCTTATATTTTAACCGTATGCGTATTTTATTTTGAAAAGCTTTTAGGGGAAGTGTGTATTTTGTTTCCATCTGACAGCATAGTAGCAGAAAGTGTTCCTGTGTGTTTGTTCTTCCTCTTTCTGCAGGTGAGCAGGATGGTGCGGACCGCGGGGCTGCTGCTGCCGCTACTGCTGCTGCTGCTGGGACTCTCCGGCTCCCTGCGGGCTCAGATCTCTCCTCCAACGATTCTCATCAACCTGGACGATGATCCGGAGCTGCGATGGTTGCCTCTCAAAAAAGTATTTGATCCAGACTACTTGAGCAAAGCAGCGGCTGAAATTATCGAGTAAGTCTAGTTTACGGGATCTTTTCACGATAATCTCGGTGTTATTATCAGGGGCGGAGCTAGATGGGGGACCAGGGGTGGCCATGGCCACCCTTACCCAATCATTGGCCATCCCCCCTACCATTTTTTCCCTCTAATACAGACGGTGGCAGCAGTAATACTCTCAAGTGCAATGGCGTAACTATCAGTAAGCAGAGACTGCAGTCTCTTAGGGGCCCCCGACCTCTTAGGGGCCCCTTCATTGACTTCTGGTAGGCCCCCTACGCAATTATGGGGGCCTATTTTACCCACCGGATGCTACTCTGTCAGACCGGACCTTATTTATACCCCAACACAAGCCAGATCTCAACATGATGGTGAGCCCTAAACACCAATAGCAAAGCAGACAGTGGTACTTTTAGGCTACGTTCACACTGCAGGCCTTAATGCTCAATTCCGATTTTTTTCGTGAAATCGGATTTTTTTGCGTGTCCGTTCACACTTCCAAGTATATGCGACTTGTATGTGATCTACTGTGTGAACGAAAGCGTTCAACCAAAGTGTCCCGCATGCGCACTC